ATATACAGGGTGTCCCGGAAATGGTGGGCAATCTCTCGGATATGGATAGATAATGAGAAAATAATGTCACAAGTTCATATAAAATTTTTTCCTCTGGGCTCACCCTGTAGAGTTATTAGCTCTTGAAGTTGAAAATTAAAAATGTTTTTTTTGCTGTCTTTTGTATTTTTCAATAAATTTTGAAAATTTTTTGGCTGGATCTATAATTTTTGAAGCTGTTTTGGATGATAATATGAAATCCTCAATAATAATTATGGGGGCCCGGGGGCAAAGCACCCCCACTAAAATTTCTAGAAAAAAAATTTTTGTTCCACTATACCCCAAATTTCCCGTCATTTTATAAAAATTTATGGTATTTTACGTAAAAAAAGTATACTTGTTGAATATCCATAAAATAGATATTTTTTGAGATAAACCCGTTCAAAGAGGAAGGTACCATTTAATTTGAGACATTTTATTTAATTGAAACACAGATTTAATCGTGGTTGGCTTTGACATGTCAGAGTATGCCAAAGGCAATTAAATTGTCAAACTTGTCAAATACGTAGTTTTAAATCTAAGACTCATCTCATAACTCATAATTTGTTATAAAATATGGAGTATTCCAATGAAGAATATGCTGATATGCATTTAATGTACGGGCGGGCTCTTTGTAATGCTTCGGCAGCAAGAAGATTTTATCAGCATTCTTATCCTAATAGAAGGATTCCGGATCGCAAAACTTTCGAACGTATTGATCAAAGATTAAGAGAAACTGGTAAAATACGATTACTATTATTAAACAAAATGGATATTAAATAAATTTTAATGTCTTTAGGTCAGTTTGCTCCTGTTACTGCAAACAGGGGTGCCCCGCGAACAGCACGTACAGTTGAAGTAGAGGAAAATATACTGGACGAAGTTGCTGCTCATCCAACAGTTAGCATTAGGTCATTATCTTCTTTTACCAATGTTCCAAAGACCACTGTTGCAAGAATCCTTAGAGAACAGCTTCTTCACCCTTACCATATCCAAAAAGTGCATGCTCTTAATCCTGATGATTTTCGTGCAAGAGTACAGTTTTCTCAATGGTTTCTTCAGAGACATGAGCAAAATCCTATGTTTACGAGATTAATTCTGTATACTGACGAAGCAAGTTTTGGGAGGAATGGAGTTATTAACTCCCATAATTTACATTATTGGTCTGATGAGAACCCACACGCTATTATTGAAACTAGGCACCAAAGACAATTTTATGTTAATGTTTGGAGTGGAATTATTGGTCCTTACTTATTGGGTCCATTTGTGTTACCCCCTAGACTGAATGGTCAACGTTACCTAGATTTCCTTGTGCATCAATTACCACAACTGTTAGAAGATGTTGATCTTGAAACCAGAAATGCACTGATATTCATGCACGATGGGGCGCCGCCTCACTTTAGTGCTGCAGTAAGGGACCATTTAAACGAGGTATATCCTAATCGCTGGATAGGTCG